CATTGGAATCGAATGGTTGGGTTATGAAAATGCCAATATTTTATTTTTACGTTAATGTTTATACCTCTCTTAATTGATGAATGGTTATTACTATTATATGCTCATGGTTATGAACATCGAGCAATGCTTATTGCTATATACCATTCTATCTATAAGTTATTACGTACTTCATACATGATTCAATTATGCATTTAATTGGGTTTTATGCAACAGCGAGGAGATTTGTCATAGACAGGTTAAATCTCGTCATAGTTAATTCTTTTGATTTCATGCATAAACCGGAACTCCATTTTCATTAATTCATCAACCTACCGGTCGAATAGCTAAAGTAAACCTTTTGAATGGTTCACCTTTGAGGTTACTAGGGTTATTTGGTTGTTGATTGGTACATAGACCTTCCGTCTAACCTAATCAGTTATTGTGATATGATTCAGTTATACATCAAACCTACCGATTAACTTTCCAGTTAGATGGGAGTCAATTGCTTTAAGCTGGCCTTTTTATAATCAAGCAATATAATGCATGTTGGATCCCCGAACTAACGAGTATCTTCACTATTGTTATTAAGCTCCCTATGGATTTGACCTTAAACGTAACCGAGTAATAATACAATTTGACCACTTATACTTGGGTGTATGATTTAAATCACGTGCAAAAAACAGAACAAAGGGTGAAGTGCACACTGGTCCCCAAATGATATGAGACTTAAGTGGTCATTTTTTCAACACAAGAGGGTGAAGGGCCACTGGATCTAACCATAGGCATTAAAATACAATTATTCATAATTTACTTTCTCATCATGGGCATTTAGTGGTTGAGTTTAAATTATACACTGATTATTTGTAAGATCAATGGTTCTTGGGTATCCAATTAATTGACACATAAGGCAATGTGCGTTAGTTTAATTGATCACTTATTTTTGTAGTTTTTCTCTCTCTCTCTCTCTCTCCCCCCTAACCACACATAGACACTTAACTATTGTCAAGATTAGGCTTAAAAAAATGCATCACAACTCAATGACTTGGCACGAATTGATACAAAATTAGCGGGTTTAGGTATGACCTTAACGAGTTCAAGTGATAAATGGATAAACCCGTCAGACCTACTTGATGAATGAGTAATGCTTAGGTGGGATACCTTAACCCGTTTATCACACGTTTCTCAATTAATAAATAAGTATATGCATAATAATTGGATTGTCAAAGACTCCAAGTTGATTAGACAAGTCCTTGGTCATGTTCACTTTTAATTTTAGGAGCCTAAATTTTGTGACCCAGACCACACTTTGGATGCCTCAAGTCCTAAATGAGTTTTGATCTCTCTTTTTCTCTCTTCATCCTCTCTCTCTCTCTCTCTCTCTCTTTCCCCTATCTCTCTTATAGCTTAAATAAATTTGATATATATACGCTTCTTGTGTCAGTTTGTAGCCAAATCTTGATATTTTTTAATAGGAATAATCACTTGAAAAGTTGACATATATACATAATTGTTTATGATAAATGGGTGATGAGTGGGTTTTATACCTACGAATTGAGTATTCTTGGCTTGATGAAATTACAAGTTTTCAAGTATTTTATGTTCCTTTTTATTTGTTTTGTGTGTTTTAATGTTATTTTGTAGGGAGCATTATTTGGAAGGAAACAAGATCACTTGGAAGGAAACAAGGTCATTTGGTAGCCTCAGTGTTGGAATATTTGAAGACTAAGCAACTAAGGCATCTGTAGGCATAAAAGGGGGTCAGCGCCGCAGCTCTAGGAGCAATGTTGCAGCGCTAGAAGGGTAGAAAGTCAGCGCCCCTGTTCTGATTTTAGGGGCTACAACGCTTGATTTAATGTGGACGAGAATTCTGACTTGTTTTTTAGTCGAAATTGAACTCTAATGCTACATATATGCTAGGGTTTTAGTTGGAATTGAAATATTCTGATTTGAGGGGCTGCTAAGAGAGGAGGAACCAAGAATTGATAAAAAAATTGCAGGCAAGAATCGAAGAAAGCAACATGAGAAAAATTGGACTTGAAAGCTAGAGAGAGATTGAAGATTGCAACTAAGTTTTCATTATTTTCTCTTACTTTTACTTCTTAATTTTCTAAGATGTTGTTTAATTTGAGAATGATGTTTTTCAATTATGTAATGAACTAAATCTTTATTAAGATTGCAACGGAACCTGATGTTTAGTTAAACTGATTTACTCTCGTTTCTAGTTTTTATTGATCATATAAAGTTGTTTATCATATTTTGTGCTTAATATATGATTGTGTGACCAACAATTAATTTGATTTTCTAGATGAAATTGGGAGATGAATTCTAGGGATAGATCTGAATATGATAACATGCATCGAGTTAACTCTTCTTAGGATTGAATAGCTGGGTTTGTGCATAGGATAGGAATATACCTATATGTCGTGTGTAACTTTTATGAGAGTTTGAACTTAATGAGTCTATTCCAACTTATTTTACCTAGGAATATAGTAATTTAATTGGGAGAGATATTTTTATCTAACTATCAGAAGAGGTTTGATAAATAATTTTGAGTTCTCAGTT